AGATCCAAAATGTGGACATTAATTAGTGGAAATACCTCTTTAAACAGTCTGGTTGGGATGGGATCTAGCAGGCATGTGGATGGGATCTACTGTAGCAGACATGTGGATGGTTTGGATGAGGTTATTATTGTTGACAATTCAGAGCTCAACAGGACAAAAACTGTCCAAACATAAATCGGTTTCTAATGACATTTTTAAAGTTGTCTCATCTGACATGGAACCAGAAGTGATAGTAGAAATGATGAATTGAATTTTCTCCCTAATTGAAATTATTTAATTTATAAAGAATCTCATGAAGTCATTACTGCTGATAGTTGTAGGGATACATGAATCAACAGAGATGGGACTTTTAATTAGTCTAGCAATAGTTCTGAACAGAAGCCTGGGGTTATTTTTATTCTCATCTATTAAAGATGAGTAATATAAAGTTCTAGCTTTACGGAGAGCTTTTTTATACGTCATCAGGCTGTCTCTCCAGATAGATAAAATTCTTTGTTTGTGAAGCGCCATTTTCTTTTCAGCTTTCTAGATGCTTGTTTTAAAGTACGTAACCCAGAATTGAACCAAATAACTTCTGTTCTTTGTCGTTGTAGGACCCGACCTTCCTGGAGAAGAAGGAGCGATGCGAGTATCTGAAAAATAAACTGTCCCACATCAAACAGAAGATCCACGAGTATGACAAAGTCATGGAGTGGAAGGATGGCAGCAGCTGAAGCTTTCCACAGGAAGTTCATCATAACCACAAAGTGCTGCGTCACACACGCCTTAATCTTTCCAGCCGTGTGTGTTAGCAAAATATTTCATGAACCACTGGACACGTTTTAATCTCTGAGTGTTCTTCTACAACTGATTAACTTTTGGACTTGATTCTAGATGGCTGCCACAGCCTACTGACCACAAAAGACCAGAATCAACTAAACCTCAGTCATTGTGACAGACTGAGCAGCAACCTGGAGTGGTAGTAGCTGAGAGTCATCGTCAACACGTAGAACTGAAGCGTCTCATCAGATGTGGCCTGTGTCGCGTCACCGGACTGTCATTCTTCCAGTTTTAAACAGATTCTGAACGTGCTGTTTGTTTTCATTAGAGTTTGATGTTTCCATGACGACCAGTCTCTGCTGTCCTTCACTGAAGCTGCTGAGAGACGTGAAACGGTTCGCGTGGCTCTAACAGAACCGCTCTGTGGTCCGTGTGGCTCTAACAGAACCGCTCTGTGGTCCGTGTGGCTCTAACGGAACCGCTCTGTGGTCCGCGTGGCTCTAACGGAACCGCTCTGTGGTCCATGTGGCTCTAACGGAACCGCTCTGTGGTCCGTGTGGCTCTAACGGAACTGCTCTGTGGTCCATGTGGCTCTAACGGAACCGTTCTGTGGTCCGCGTGGCTCTAACAGAACCGCGCTGTGGTCTGTGTGGCTCTAACAGAACCGTGCTCCAGGTACCAGCACATGTCACAGCTTCAGGCCATCGAGGTCCACCGGGCCTGTAGTCTTCTTTCACTCTGTGGTGGAGCAAACACCAACGTTAACCCGGTTCTTCTGGCCCTGATGGGACCTCCTGCCCTGATCGCCGCAGGTTGACCACCTGAGTGGCAGAAACTGGATGTCCTGGTTCCATTCGGATCGGATCAGAGTCTGATATAATGTTAGCAGCTGCTGCAGTCTCTGTACCCGTCCAGTGTAGAGACAGGACTGGACTTCATGTCCCCTGCTGTCACAGGGCTGGACACTGAAGCTTCTGGACAGGAAGTTGACCCACGGAGACCTGAGAGACACCCCTGTTGTAAAATCAACACAACTTTTATTTCAGCTGAAAAAACTGTTCTCGTGTTGAGCTCCTGCCAGCAGGGATGTGTTAGCATGATGTTAGCATGACACGATAAGATGTGAGTCCAGCCGGTCCTGATCCAGACCACTGAGAAGTCCCTTTAGACAGCCTGGAGGAGAAACTCGTCCCAACAAGTCTGGACTTTCAGAGAAACACTCCTCTGCTCGTGGAAGAGCTGAGCGAGTTTCAGACTGACCTGGTTTCTGCCGGTCCTCATTTTGAAACAACTTGGACCATGATGGACATCTGTAGAAGGTCCTGCTGTCGACCATGAACACATCTTCAGGTTTGGTTTATTGTCATGTGCAGGTCAACGATGCAATGAAAGGCTGAGGACGAGAAGAACCGTCTGGACTCACCACAACAACAAGACATGGGTCTGAACCACTTGGACCAGTCTGGTTCAAGGTTCTTGTTCACATCACAAAGGTCTGGTTGTGCCGAGGTGGAAACGAGTTTCTGTACCGAGGCTGGCTCAGTGGGTCCAAGTCCAACTTGGAGGACAGCAGAGGTGCTGGTTCTGTCCCAGTCAAACCAAGTTCTGCTTCATGTCCTCTGGTCTGGATCCGTTAGAAAGGCCCGACTTGATCTGAACCGCTGAGGGAAATCTGACCGTGAGAAGTTTCCTGAAGGTCCAGACGGGTCCTGAAGGTCATGGAGAGGTTCTGCTGTGGACGTGAGGTTCTGTAGAGCCGCAGGTTCTGTTACTGCCGGTGTGGATGAATATTTCAAAACACTGCCGTCAGAAAATGTTTGATTTCAAACATTCAGGTGAAACGTGACGAAGATCGAACAGTTCGGTTCTCCTCAGGTCCTCCTGGTAGGTCTCCTCCTGGTTGGTCTCCTCCTGGTTGGTCTTCTCCTGGTTGGTCTCCACCTGGTTGGTCCTCCTGGTAGGTCTCCTGCTGGGTCTCCTGCTGGTTGGTCCTCCTGGTTGGTCTCCACCTGGTTGGTCTCCTCCTGGTTGGTCCTCCTGGTTGGTCTCCTCCTGGTTGGTCTCCTGCTGGTTGGTCCTCCTGGTTGGTCCTCCTGGTTGGTCCTCCTGGTTGGTCTCCTGCTGGTTGGTCCTCCTGGTTGGTCTCCTGGTTGGTCTCCTCCTGGCTGGTCTCCTCCTGGTTGGTCTCCTCTCTCTGTGTAACATCGTGTTGTAAATCATGTTTTCAGATGAACGTATAGTAGCAGTTAGTGTTTTTATGATCCGTCTTTGTTCCTCGTCATTTCACTAAATATATTTTGTACTTTGATCTTAAAACGTGTGCGTCGTCTTTTCTGCCTCAGTTCCTGCTTTGATGTGTTTAAAGGGACATTTCATGCATTCTGAAGTGATGTGTGGAAAGTTTATGAAGAACTAATATCTTACCTGCTGTAGATGGCTCCTTCATTGGCCTCGGTTTGGAGAAACGGTTTGTAGGTCCAACACACTCACACACACACACACACACTCACACACACACTCACACACACACACACACCTTGCTCCTCTGCTGACTGAACCAGCAGGTGAACAAACGAAACCTCAGGCGTCGACGTTCAAACGTCAGTTTTGTCTCGTCAGTGAAGAAAGTCGTGTCCAGTGTTGTTAACTATGAACGTGCACGTTCATAAACGTGCATGTTTCTGTCACTTTGATCAGGAACCGTTCGGTTGAATCTTTTTAAACTTCTGCGTCGCGCAGCTTCTGATCTCAGACGCACGACGTACGAGACGTTCAATCTGTCACTGAAGAAGCATCTGCAGTTTATTGAGACTGAAGTAAACCAGGACCACATGATGAGGATGATGTCGTTCTGTCCTCCTCTTCATCACCCTGCTCCTCTTCATCACCCTGTTCTTCTTCATCACCCTGCTCCTCCTCATCACCCTGCTCCTAATGCGACGCTCCTCCTGGTCCATGATTTGTTGTTGCTCGTCTTCTGTTGACGCATCCTGCAGCTCTGTGCAATAGTTTTAATCCCTTCCAAAGCTCTACCATTTACTTTAATCGTTTAAATCTCGGGGCTCTTTGAAGATCGTTCTGTTTTTCTTTGGACGTTGCTGTTTTGTTGGATCTTCACTCTGAATCCTTCGGTTGTTAAGAGACTCGAGGAATGACGATTGTGTTGACACACAACAGAATCACACATTTAAATGTATTTTTGTTCCCAGCTCCAACTATTCTGTTCTTTAAATTTAGAGAATAACAAGAACAGTTTTACTTCTCGCTCGTGTTTAAAGCAAACATAAAAAATGATCTTTGTAGATTATTGCCTGATTAGATCAGGATTTTAAAATGTCTTCTTTCATGAGATGCTGGAGAAAACATCTGGCACAACATCCCCAGACACCTGCCAAACACAACACCGAATGAACGCAACGATCATCACAACACCTGCACAGGTATGAACGCTCCTCGGGGTTTGAGCCCAGGTCCTCCATCCTGATGACAGAGGAAGAGGAGCGTCAGCATCAGGACCAAATGACTGATGACCAGGAGGTAACACTCAGACGATGAACTGATGCACATACATTTATTAAAGTTCATCACTGATGCTGAACTGATGTTCTCACAGACGTCTGGAGAGCCGTCAGCGTTTTAGATTTATTTTAAGGAGGTTTTAAACTGCTGGTTGTTAAAGGCAGAAGAAAAAAGTTTTAACTTCACACGTTTTTATCTTTAACAGAAATATAGTTTCAGCAACAAAACACGTTTTTAAAACGACGATCATCGTTCAGCTTCATAAGTTATTTGTTTACAGCAGATGATCTTGTTAGTGATGAATTGATTTGATGATCTTGTTGGTGATGAATTTATTTGATCTTGTTGATGATGTTGGTGGTGATGAATTAGTTTTTATTTGATGATCTTGGTGATGATGATGAATTTATTTGATGATCTT